CAACTCTATTTCTCATTCTATACGTATACTATTATGTTTTAAAGCACCGTGTTTTTCCTCAAATATTTATATATAATGTCATTTTCCTACCTGTCTCCCTTGAAAAAATGTTTAGAAAGGGATACATCATGAAAATAATATTTTTAATATTTTCTTCTGTTTTGGGGACGTACTTCCCTTGGCTAATCTAGAGAAGAGCAACTCTTCATATTCATTCTAAAAATCTTGTTTGTGGGTTCTAGGTAATACAAAAATACAGTCTGAGTACATTACCCCTGACCATTGTATCACCAAGGAATGTGACCTCATTTTAATTTGATCTTCTGTCTTTTTTTCTCCATTTTCTTTTGCACTGATATTACCCGTAGACATTAGGCACAAAGTAAGTAATAAAATTGTCAATTACAGTAGTAATGGTGCCTCCCAAATTATTTAGAAAGATAATTTGATGAATGTTTGCCTTTTAGCAAAAGCTAATGAATACTCCTAGCTCTATTTTGCTTCTATGCTTTTGTTTCTTCATTAGTGAAATTTTCCAAATTTATTGAGCAGTCATTTTTGAAAGGAAAATGGACAAAAATTCTGCTTTTATGTTCCAGGCTTTCTTCTTCGACAATTTTTTTTTTTTTGTTCCTTTTGAATTTTACCATACTTTGGATATTAAAAACAACTTGCTCACATGTAGAGGGAAAGAAAGAAAAGCTCTAAAACCTGAAGTGATTTGAGAGTAGCCGTGATAAGAAATAGAAAAATGCCAACAGCGTGATAATCTCGACCCTATACTAGGAAGCAGTATGCTGGCTTGTGGCCAGTTGAGGCTTCTGGACATGATTTAGGTGGTACAGCAGATCAGCAGTATCATACCAAGGAGTCGAAAGGAGGGGATCCTTTATCACTAACTGGAAATTTTGTTTTCAGATAATTCTTGGGTTATTTGCAATCACAGGTGGAACAACGTATCCACACAAGCTTCTCTGAAATGTTAAGGAACTGGAATGGCAAATCCTCTTTGAAAATGTGCCCTGCAAATAAATAATCACCATTCGAAAAGAACACGTCTTGGTGGTGTGCAATTGTGCGAAACGGTCGACAGCAATGGAAATGATCTTGCAGAAACCTTTTATGAAATAAAATCACTAAGAGATGGCATCTCTTCCCTTTCTCAGGGTTCTTCAGCCTCAGTCTCTTATTGCTTAAATGAACTCCTCAGGTACACGTATTAAAAGCACCAGATTGCATAAGGGAATGCTTTCATTTTAATTCGTTTCAGAAAAAAGCATATAGGGTGGTGGCTTTGATATTTTTATTGCTATGATAGTAATGCTGTCTTTTAGATAACAGTAACAAAATCCTATTTCCGTAATGTTTTTTCCCCGCTAATTTACCGTACCTTCACATAGGCGAACTTACTATGGAAACCATGTGAATGAACCATTATGCTTTGACCCAAGGGAAAAAAAAAATTCATGACTTCATGTTTCGTCTTAACATTGTCCTTGCCTTGAATATTCGTGTGTTATATCATGGCAGGGAAGCTAGATGTTCTTATGCTTTTTTATGATTGCTTTAATATTTCAATAAGGATTTGTTTCTTTCCCCAGGGCCGGTGCATAAACTTCTCTCGAGTCCCTTCCCAGTGAAAGGAAGGCAGGAAGACCAAGAAGGTACGAAGACGGCACATTTTTCACACGGCCGGTTTCCAACCAAAGGAAAAAAAAACCAAGTGCATTTCAGAGCTTTTGGAAGAGCAGCTTAATTCCTCTCAGTCAGGAAATGTTTTCTGTGCCTTCTGCTTCGCTTGAACCAAACATTTTCAAACACTTGTTCTGCCATCGACATGGGAGGTGATGAAAGTCAGTGGTAACTCATGATTCATGACACTGAAAAGAAAGAATCGCATTGATCTGCATGCTGTGGTTTATGCAAGAAAGTTTGTTTGAGTGTGTCGAAGAGGAGAAAGCAACCGGAGCAACAACAACATGAAGATGATATCAAAACAGGGACCATAAAGCAACAAGCCGTGACGGGTGTTTAGTGGAGACGGGAGTGTTTTTTTTTTTTTCCCCCACATGGAAACATGGCACTTGGGTTTTTCTATGGCAAGATCTTTAGCTGTGAGCAGAGTATGAAATTTCCCACCAGGCTAAGCAAATAAAGGAGTCCTTCGCCTTCTAGCGATGTCAGATCACAAAATCCTCCCGAGCCCCTATCACGGTTGCCTTGCGGGAAGTTTCTGACCAGAAAATCTTGTCATTTCGACACCGAAAAGTGCACACGCATGACAAAATGTAGACAGGATGCCTCGAGGTATCGGCAGCAAGCAAGATTTCGCCCTTCAGTTTTCGAAGACACCTCTCTTTCATTATGCACTCAGGACAAGGAAATCAGTGGAGCATTATTCTGCAGGAAGGCGGCCTCTACCTGGAGATCTGGAGTGGGGGTGAAGGACTCATGCTCTGAGAACGTGTCCTGTGGCTGGCAGGTCCCTGCTTTTGCTGTGTTTGGGATTCGACAGTGCGTAAAGCACCAGTATCGGTGAACATACCCAGGAGTTTGTTTTGCTTTTAATTTAAAGGAAGCAGTAACCACGAAGCTTCCGCTCAGGGTTTTTTCCTTCCTTCCTTCCAGTCTCCAAGGGCTCTTCAGCGTCACAAGCCAGCAACTCTCT